CCATGACACCGCCTCTTGTCCCTATTCCCTCCATTGCTGCTGCACCATTCACCCAGGTCTCCATTGACCTCATCACTGACCTTCCCCCATGTGCGGGATTTGATTCTGTTATGGTCGTGGTTGACCATGGCCTTACAAAGGGGGTAATTCTCATCCCTTGTACAAAAACCATCACCTCCGAAGGCATCACCAAGAAATTTTTCAAATACATCTATTGTTGATTTGGATTACATGAGAAAGTCATTTCTGATTGTGGACCACAATTCATATCAAAATTCTCAAAAGCCCTTGCCAAGCTTTTGCAATATAACATAGCTGCATCAACTGCTTATCACCCCCAGACTGACGGTCAGACTGAATGCCTTAACCAGGAACTCGAAACCTATCTTCGAATCTATTGCTGTAATCACTCGGAAGATTGGGTGGAACATCTCCCTATGGCAGAATTTGTTCACAACCACAGAAAACATGACTCTCGAAATGCATCACCCTTCTTCCTTATGATGGGATATGAACCAAGGGCTCTCCCTCATGTACTCTCCAACTCTACCGTACCCACTGCAGAAGATAGACTTTGCTTGCTCCAGAAATCCAGAGAAGAAGCACTATCATGTCATAATCTTGCCATGCAGCGAATGGCAGAACGAACTCACAGACAGAAATATCACCCATGGAAGATAGGAGATAAAGTTTGGTTATCAGGAAAGAACTTGATCATGCAGTTACCTTCCTGAAAGCTTGCACCGAAGCGATATGGTCCCTTCCCTATCATTGCTGTGCTATCCCCCATCACGTTCACACTCCAATTGCCACTGCAATGGAGAGTTCACCCCACGTTCCATGCTTCCAAACTATCCTCCTATCACGAAACAGAGATTCATGGTCTGAACTTCCACGATCCTCCCCCTGACATCATAGATAATGAAGAAGAATATGAGATCAATGTGATCTTATTGCACAAAGGCATGGGTAAACAAAGATGTTATCTCGTATCTTGGAAAGGATACTCCTCTGCCAGTAACAAATGGATCCCAGAAGAGAACCTTAGCAATGCCACCGATGTCCTTGCTGTGTATAAAAGGACTCACCAATTGTAATCCTAGAACAATGTCTCTTGAACACCTACACCTCTGCATACAACGCATTGAAGAACTCACCACTGCTATGAACATTGTATCTGAAAATACCACTCACCCAGTGACTCTTCTTGACTATCAGACTGCCACCACTGCTAACCTTGCCACTGCCAACGCATCTTCCCCAAGCACTTCCCCACCCTTAACTGACTCTACCTTAACCAGTGACTCTACACTCACTGATTATTTTGCAATCATTGATCAAGTTGAAACCAGTGCCTTATTTGAATCCGCCCTCACATCTCAACAGTACGCTATTGAGATAGACTGCCTTCTAGGAGAAAGAGGAGCAATCTCCAGCAGGCTCATTATTCAAATCATTAGAGACGCTAGTCTTATTGAACACACCGCTAATCTTCTTGACGATGAACATCACAAAACCATATTCCACCACCTTCATATATGCATTCATAATACTGCAATCCATCTGTTGCCTGATGATACTAGGGAAGCTATCAGGGAAGCTATCCACATCATCACTGAGCAGATCACTACAGAACCAATCACACGACCTCCTTCTCCACACATTGCTGTTCCAATCCCACCACCAATTCCTCCAACAGCTGCCATTGAGCATTCAGATAATGATATCCCTCCTATTACTGTACTTGACATACCAGCTTCTCCTTCTCCTACCCCCATCGCACCCACTACATGTCGGTACCCTACTAGATGCAGATCCGCCCATATTGCCAAATGAATGGCATCATCTTCCCCACACAGAAACCGTGAACAACGATCTAGATCCCCATCTCCACCCACACAGTCATCCACCGTCACCACTGTGAAAATGGCCACCATTGACAATGTAGTGTGTCACAACTGTCGCGTCGCTGGGCATTGCCATAAGAACTGCCCAGCGTACTATTGTTGGGTTTGCAAAGAGTATGCACCTGGGCATCTGTCAGTCTTTTGTAAGGACCTGAAGGGAGAAGCGGTCATTCCACTAGTCTGGACTGACACTGGTTTCTACAAAGCCCTTGCTCATTGGGAGATTGAGCAGGATGCTATTTATCATGCCACCAAAATGGCTGATAAATCATCTTATACTACTGTCATATGCCATTCTGGACTCTCAACTCTAAATCTGCTTCTCTGGATATCTGGATCTGAGATCCGGATCTCAAATGATCTGATCTATCTTTATCTCCCTTCCAGAATCCAAACCCTATATCAGCACCCAACCCCATTTAGACTGCCCCTGTCTCTGGACTCTGGTTAACCATGTTTTCCTTTTGATTATTGATCCATTACATACATTTCATTTCCGGTGTTCATTATTTGTGATCCATCCTACTTACTAATAGACTCTGCATATGCTTCATACATAGCCTTTATGTTTGCTGACTGATTCCTATATGATACCTACAGTATATAAACCTCCTGTAACTCTCAGAAATACTCTAGTTCGAATATCATCTTAATTCCTGCTCATTCCTGTGTCCTCCGGACTTGAGATAAGTCTCTTGTCATATTCCGAGTCTTAGGATTGCATCCTAGACTACATTTCCAACTCTACCTTAGGGTAGTCCATCCTCTGTTAGTTTCTAGTCTGGACCTCGTCCAGATTGGTCTTACCTGCTTGCCCAGGTAATATCTGGATGTCCGTCAGATGTATCTCACGTTTCAGATCCAGATGTCCATTATCCACCTAGTCAAATCCCAGAAACTCTGGACGACTGTTCTAGCCCCCAGAAATTAAGGGCACATACTCAGGAAAGGGGCACAGTGTACGAGCTGAGGCCAAGCCCTTGTGATCTGACCCCCTTGAGCACACGACCTTAACAACTACAGTGGCTCAAAAAACTGTCCACATGTTTTTGCATTTTTTACTATTTACAATATTGTGTGAGAATACATAAAGACCTCAGTGACATGCTGATACCATATTGTAGTGCTGCTTCAGGGCTTTGGATTGAGCACCACATCATGAGAATCAGAGGAGATATGGTGGAGATACAAGGCTCACAAAATCATGACTCATGCAGACAGTTTTTTGAGCACATATTAAAACTATATAAATCATCATTTATGACACCATAACAATCATGCCACCATTAAATAAATTATAAAGTGGTGTCATTATGTCATTTTAAAACCATATCTAACTATACAAACCAAAAATTTCCATATGTCATGGTTATATTCACCATGAAAGCCACCCCCCCTGCTCAAAGGGATAATATCCTCTCTCTTTCCTATTCTGGCCTCTCTGCTTGTCAAATTTCCTCTAGAACTGGAGTATCCAAGTCCACTGTGGCCAAGTTCATCAAAGAAAGTCACACAGACAAGGAAGACTTCTGTGAAGGGTGTCCATCCAAGCTCACCTCTACTGATAGGAGGGCTATTATTCAACATATCACTACAGGAAAGGCTGATGATGCTGTCCAGGCCACCTATTACATCAATTCCACCATCACATTCCCTGTCTCTTCACACACTGTGAGAAACATTCTCAAGACAGCTCATCTCAGGTCAGTAACAAGGAAGAAAAGGCTCTCCTCTCTATCACACATAAACAGAGATGACTAACCTTTGCCTTAGCCCATCAGAATTGGATTACATGGACTGGAAGCATGTTATATGATCATATAAGACCACAATAAATAGGATTGGGTCAGATGGCAAGGTATATATGTGAAACAAGAAGGGTGCTAGTCCTCTCTGCATATGTGTGATAGAAAGGAGAGCCTTTTCTTCCTTGTTACTGACCTGAGATGAGCTGTCTTGAGAATGTTTCTCACAGTGTGTGAAGAGACAGGGAATGTGATGGTGGAATTGATGTAATAGGTGGCCTGGACAGCATCATCAGCCTTTCCTGTAGTGATATGTTGAATAATAGCCCTCCTATCAGTAGAGGTGAGCTTGGATGGACACCCTTCACAGAAGTCTTCCTTGTCTGTGTGACTTTCTTTGATGAACTTGGCCACAGTGGACTTGGATACTCCAGTTCTAGAGGAAATTTGACAAGCAGAGAGGCCAGAATAGGAAAGAGAGAGGATATTATCCCTTTGAGCAGGGGGGGCGGCTTTCATGGTGAATATAACCATGACATATGGAAATTTTTGGTTTGTATAGTTAGATATGGTTTTAAAATGACATAATGACACCACTTTATAATTTATTTAATGGTGGCATGATTGTTATGGTGTCATAAATGATGATTTATATAGTTTTAATATGTGCTCAAAAAACTGTCTGCATGAGTCACCATTTTGTGAGCCTTGTATCTCCACCATATCTCCACCGATTCCCACGGCGTAGGGCTCAAATGAAAGCCCTGAAGCCATACTACAATGTGCTATAAGCATGTCCTTGAGGCATTTGTTCGTTCTCACACAATATTATAGATAGTGAAAAATGTCAAAACATGCAGACAGTTTTTTGAGCCACTGTAGGAGACCTTTGCCTCTTCTCACCTGTCTGTCATCACACTAGGTATGCACTTTAGTTCCTTTTGTTGATGCTATGCATGCCAATGTGATAAGCAGAGTTAATGTTTGGAATTCAAACCATAATACTTATAGTCACTTTGTCTTCTCACCTTCCCTCAGTTTGTTCCACCACAACTGAGGGTAAGCCTTTTTAATATTTGATCTGCCACTAGATGCTGACTACAGCTTTTAGCTCACACAGTATCTAGGTATTTAATACAGTTTGTTCCACCACAACTGAGGCTCACAGTATCTAGTTATAAAAGGTTATGAGCCCTGCTCACTCATAAATTGAGGAGTGGAATTACCAACTAGGTACATCAACAAGCCTCCGGAACAAACACGCCAGGTTACTAAACCCTTGGGGATCCTCTTCAACGTCCATTGATGTCATTGCAACATTTAATTTACCCTCTTAGACCAAGGCAGATCACTTGCAGTTGTGCAGGAGTATAAATACTTGCACTTTGCTCGTTTTTAATTCCCCAACTCTTGTTCTTATGCCTTCCACTACTGTCCACACCCGCTCTAAGAGCTCTGGCACTAAAAGTGCTTCCCTCAGCCTGCCGTCTGTCATCTCATCCTCAGCTTCCATGTCCCCCCTCAGAGCCTCCATTACAGCTATTACTCTAAGCCAAATGGACTTAGACAAGATTGAGGTTCTCAACAGAAGCAAGAACAACTGGAATGTCTGGTCAGATCATATGCAAAATTACCTCCTACTCAAACATGGGGGGGGTATATTCTAGGACTCATTGCTCGCCCTGACCCACCTCTGAATCCTTCCAGTGTGGGCCATTGGGATCTCAACAACTTATGTATCATGGCTGCCTTGTGCACCTGTTCTAGTTCTGAAGAACACGACTTCCTTCATGGCTACACCAATGCTCACCTCGCCTGGGATGCTCTCAAATCCCATTGTAGAGACTTGCGCTTCTGTATGCCCATAGAGCCCTATATTGCAATGTATCTGCATGCAGTTCACAGCATGAACTCGCAGCATCATTCCCTATATCATTCCTTCACTCAGCCTATACATGCATGATCTTCCTGTGCATCGTGCAATGCACACGCTACTCTCCAATGACACATTCCCACGCGCGTCCCATGCGCTTTCCCACGCTTCATCACGCATCATCCAGGAGCATCCATCCATTGTCCACCAAGTCCTACTGGTACATTTTTCGCATTTATTCTTATCATGACACCATATTCCATCATGGACCCTTACTTACATATACCTTCTTCATTCCTGCGCCTTACTCACATCAGCTCTGCATCATGGGAGCGCGCTTAGTCACCTTTTGCATGATAGCATTTGCATTTTTATCAGAGTTAGCTACCACTTAGTGGCCAGTTAGTATCCCTTAGCATCCCTCAGCATAGTGCACACATTTTTGAGCCATAGTCAGTAGCATTTTTGACAATCACACTCTATCATCATCGCATTTGTCATCCTTGCACCCATCAGTATCAGTCATCATCTTCCTCTAGTCCCCATCGCATTCCTAGCCCTTTGTGCACTTTCACCTATTAGTGCGTGACTTTCCCACACTTCACGCATCCTACCATTCTCTGCATGCACCTTCACCTCCGCGTGCGCGACTTTCCCACGCTTCGCACGACCTGTGGATGTGTTGCACTCGCTTCCCCTTGGGTCGAATGCACTTGCCTTTGTGAAGTATAGCAGCCATAGGCAGAGCTGAGACAACCACACATATACTCTGATTTGGTATTCCTTTTTGTGCCATAGCTTAGTAGTTGATTCCTTCACCATCATGAGAAAGTTGGTCCAATTGCTCAGATCCTCCTCATCCAACAGGCACTTGCCGTCAAATACCTCCGATCTGAATGACTCTCCACCATGAGCACTCTGCTCAACAACCTCATCAGGCATATCTATGCCATTGGCATCCCCAAAGAGGATGATTTTCTGACCATTATGATGCTCAATGCTATGGCTGAAGACCTTCCCCACATGCACAACCACATCGCAGACACTCTCACAACTAGCACTTCTGCAAACCCTTACAGCCCTTCTAACATTCGCTCTTGGCTCGATGTCAAGCAACAGCTCCTCAATACCAAAAAGTCAAAGGGAGGAGATGTCACACTCGCTGCCACAGGCAAGGGGGGTAATACTAACCATAGTGATCATGTGCCCTGTGGCAACTGTGGGGCCACCAGCCACCCCACCAGAAATTGCTTCAGCAAAGGTGGGGCCATGGAAGGGAAACAAGACAAAGTTCTGGCATGTAAGCATGCTGTGCATGAGGCTAAGAATACCACTGCTCCCAACAAGAGCTCTATGTCTATGGTGCACATCACTTAGCCACCACTACTTTTGAACAACATTCTCACCCCCTTGAAAAAAAATCAGATTTTTATTTCCTCTTGTCAAAATGATTCTTTCAATGAGTAGAGTAAAGCTACAAGAGGAATTTTTGATTGAATCAAATCTGAGCGAGTTTTTTAAAAACAAAAGGGATGATTTGGCCACCTAAAGTACTATGACTCCCCATCAATCAAAAATGCGAGCCAATGTCTCCGGAATACATCTGTGAGACTTGTACTTTGTAGAGCTGAATTGCTTAACCTGAAACTGGGCATCCTTTGTGCTCAGACCTGTCTGATATGCCTCCATCCAGTGGTGCATGCAATGTTCCCACAGTCGAATGGTACTGAGCTGCACAGACTGCATTGCTAAGGGCATGTTCTTCTTCAGGGTCTTGAAAGTGCCATTGCAGTTGTCTTGGAGATATTTTTTGACCTTTCCCCAGAAATATTCGATGAAATTGAGTTTGCAGTGGAACTTCAGGAGGAAGATGCAGAGATGACCAAGAGTGGAGTTACTGTGCTCGGCAGTTGGAGCTGACCATCGTGTGGCCCTAGCGTGAGCAGCTGCTACCTTCCTGTGGTTCTTGGGCATCAGAGACTGGTAAAAACAACATCTGCACTGATACATTGTCGTTGTCTATTGTAGTGCTACATGTTTCAAACTAATATTGAAGCATCCGTTGGAGTTGCACATGCAGAACTACATAGGGTTAGGGTTTAAATTTTTCTCAGACCAATTTGGCCACTGTTCAAAGGTAGTGGTGGCTAAGTGACATGCACCATAAGTCAACTGCTGCCACTGGCCAACCAGGAGGCTTACATTATGACACTAATGGGCGTGCTTACTTGCTCGACAGCGAGAGTCATCAAGCTATCTACATGGTGTCTGCTCCAGAGCCTACTGATGCTCCCACTTCCTCTACCAAGTTTGCTGGTCTCACTAGTGACATGATCACACCTGCGTTCATACGTGAGCTGTCAGACACTGGTAAAGATGAGTATACTACACTCCTCACTTCTGTGGACTCCCTCACGACCAGCCTCAATTGGTGCTCTCACACGTGTCCCATTGACTTCACTGGACTCACATACAAGGCCCCGAACCAATGTCAACACACCATTGTGGACCCATCAGTGGTCCCCATGTTCCTCAACAGTGGTGCCTCCGTGCACACCAACAATGAGGAAGGTGACTTCTACAGCCTTCGCCCCATTCCCCCTCACTCTGTCAATGGGGTTGGTGGCTCATCCATTCAGGCCATCAGCATTGGGACTCTGCATCTCATCATCACTAGAGGTATCCACATTACTCTCGAGAATGTCTTATTCATTCCAGGTGTGATGGTGCACCTTGTTTCAGTGTCTGCACTCTGTGAAGCACACAGATGCATTGCCTCCTTCAATGCTACGAACTGTTGGGTCCAATCTCGCAACGGCAACCGCATGCTCTCTGGCACCCTCACTTCCTGCAGGCTCTACACCTTGTCCAGAGGTCAACTCTCTGCCGAACATGCCTACATGGCCCACCAGAAGCCCACACTCGAGTCCTGGCACCATCGTCTCAGATACACGATTTACCATGCTGTCTATGATCTCGTGCACTCCAGCAATGCCACTGATATGCCCATTGATCTATCTACTGTGCCACCCAAATGTGATGCCTGCATTCTTGGCAAGCAGACTCGGACTAGCATTCCGACAGTTTGTCAAGGTGTTAGGTCTAGTAGAAAGTTGGGCATCGTTCACATGAACTTAATGGAACACCCAGACATTGTATCAGCAGCCAGTAATAAGTACATCATGGATGTTATTGATGATTACTCCTCCTATGCCTGGTCCATTCCTCTTGCCTCTAAGTCAGCTGCTTTCCCAGCACTACAAGCATGGGCACATGCTCACAAAGTCAAAACAGGCTCAACAATCAGCATATATCACACTGACAACAGTGAACTGAAGTCCAAGTCCATGCGAGAGTGGCTCCTCTTGTGTGGAACTCAACAACAGTTTACTGCCCCCTACACATCAGCACACAATGGCTGCATTGAACACATGCATCAGACATTGATGGGCAAAGCCCGTGCGATGTGCTCCACCTGTGATATCCCTGTAAATTGATGGGACAAATTCATGCTCACCACATGTTACTTGTCCAACCGCACTCCAGTTGTCTCTCAAGAAGGTCACACTCCTTTTGAACAATGGTATGGTTGTAAGCCTGACCTTTCACACCTGCATGAGATTGGTTGCAGAGCCTTTGTGCTCATTCAGAATCATCACAACCCTAAAGTATATAATTGGTCTGTTGAATGTGTCCTGATTGGGTATGCTCTCAACTCCAAAGCTTATTGGTGCTATCACCAACAATCTCACAAAGTCTTCATTTCTCACCATGTGTCCTTCATCAAGTCTCACCAGACAGGAACTACTGTGGCCTCCTCAACACCGCCCCCTACTCCGTTGCCACCGGCACCTCGTAACATGTCTGTTTCTGTTGAAGAGATCCCTGATGTTGACTCTCCTTCACCCATACAGCCTACCATACCCAAAACTCCTCAACATTCCTCTCGCATTTCCATGCCTTCTGAACATTGTTGTGCCATGGACAGTAAGCCTTATGTGTCACCCACTCAGCGTGTAGTTCTCGATTCCCTCACTACGGCTGACTGCATAAGGGCACTCTCTCCTGGCAACACCCTCAGTGAACAAGCCTTAGCTGCTGTTTTCTCTGAGGAGGAGTTTGCAGCACTAGCCAACATCTTTGCTGCCATGCCCAATAACTTAGAGCACAAATTTCTGGATGATCCTTCCACCTATGCCAAAGCCATGGCATCAGAACACACATCCAACTGGACATCTGCACTATGAGATGAATTCGACTCTCTACAAGACCTTGGTGTCTACAAGCTCATCCCATGCTCTGCAGTCCCCCCCAGTCGCAAGATTATGCAAGGACGCCCCGTGTTCAAACTTAAACATGACCAGCATGGTAACACCGCTCGCTTCAAAGCATGGTATGTTTGTTGGGGTTATTCCACTGTCTGGGGACAGGATTACACCAAGATGTCAGCTCCGACTGCACATCTCAAGTCTTTTCATATTCTAACCCACCTCGGCACCACCTTAGATTGGGAGATCAACCAGATCAATATCAAAATGGTGTTCCTACATGGCCTGCTCGACTCCAATGAGGTGTGCTACATGCACCAACCCAAAGGATTCCTCAAGCCGGGCAAGGAGGATTGGCTCTGGGAACTACAGAAGGGTCTCTATGGTATGAAGCAAGGTGGCTTAGTCTGGAATCGCACTATGAACGATGCCATGCTGTCCTGGGGATTCACACATCTCAAGTGCAAGCACTGCATATATTACCACAAAACAGAACAAGGCATTCTCCTCATCACTATACATGTTGACAATTTCCTCACTGTCGGTAGCAACAAGGCCATCATTGCTGACTTCAAATCACAGCTCTGTACTAAATGGTCCATATCAGACCTAGGTGACACATGCTTCTGCCTTGGCATAGCAATAGATTGTGATCACTCCAGCCACACTATAGCCCTCTCCCAAACAGTGCTTATTGACTGTATTGTCTCTCAATTCAGGTTAGCTGACGCTGTGCCCATTTCAACACCCATAGAGACTGGCTGTTAAGAACCATGCTCAAAGGGGAGAGAGACTGACTCAGAGGGGCTTGGCCTCAGCTTGTATGCTGTGCCCCTTACCCAAGTATGTGCCCTTCATTTCAGAGGAAGTCCAATGATGGTCTGATGAAGTCCAGAGGACTTCCAGAGGCTGGCTACTCTGGTGGAGAGTGTGGGAGGACTTCCGGAGGAGCGCGGGAAATGTCCGGAGGAGCACGGGAGAGTTCCGTAGGAATGCAGGAAGTGCTCAGGAGAGTTCCCACTGCAAGGTAATACTTCTACAGGAAAACAGGATGGAAGGATAGGATGTCCAGAGGTCCGGAGTACAGAGGGCAGAATGTCCAAAGGTCAGGATGCCCAGAGGTATGAGGAACAGGATGTCCAGAGGTACAGAAGACAGGAGGTCCGGAGGTCCAGAAGGAATAGGGGCTACATCAGACGAAGTCCAATGCAGAAGCAAACAGAGGTAGACTACCCTAAGGTAGAGTCAGAGGGACAGGAAGTGGACCTAAGTCCGGAAAGAGGGTAAGTGCTGGAAAGGCAAGACTCCAGCCTAGGGAAGCAATCCCTAGACTTGGGACAGAGACATAGGGGACAAATCTGAAGGTCCAGAATTCCAGCCTAGGGAATCCATCCCTAGGCCTTATGGAAAAGGACAAACTCAGATGGACTGAAGTCTGGAAGAAGATTGGGCAAGTCTAAGGTGATATTCAGACTGAGGACTCTACTGTAGTTGTACAGGGGTTATATACTAGAGGCTATCCAAGAGGATCAGTAAGCAAAGGAGTAAGGCTATGTATGAGCATGTGGAAACACATTGGTAAGTAAGACAGAACATAAGTAAATGAACTCAGAGATGAAACTAGTACAAGGATCAATCAGCAAGACAGAAAGAGAGATAACCGAGAACCAGAAAGGCGGAGATGCCTAAATGGGGATAGGCGCAGGATCTCAGATGGAGGGTGGGAATAAGTCCGGAGATCTGGGGATCCAGAAGGCAGGATGGAAACAGGACTGAGATATGTGAGGTGGTGGATGTAGTCCAGAATCTGAGAGGAGGTAAAGTCTGGATGTCTTGCTGGATGGAATGTGCATAGGGTGGACAGGATAGGGGATCCAGGAATAAGTCGGATATGGGATCTGGAAATAGGTCCGGAAGGCGTGGGAATATGATGGGATCTATGTCTGGCTTACGGGATATGACACTGGCCTGCACCTCTCATGACACACACACACTCACCTTCAACTGACGCGCAACATGAACTTATGTTCCATACCCCATATCGATCTCTCGTCAGCTCTCTCATGTACCTGGCCATAGGCACGCATCCTGACATTGCACACACTGTGCAACAACTTTGCTGCCATCTTGACTGCTATGGACCCATCCACTGGGAAGCTGCAAAATGTGTCACTCAATACCTTAAAGGTACCCGCACCATGCATCTTGTCCTTGGTGGTGAACACCCAGTGCATCTACTCAGCTTTACTGATAGTGATTTTGTGAATTGCCCTGATACACGATGATCTGTCTCTGGGTATTGTTTCACTCTCGGCAGCGGTATGGTCACATGGAGTGCTAGACAGCAGAAAACCATCTCTTTGTCTACCTGCGAAGCCGAATACATCGCAGCATCAGATGCTTCCAAGGAACTCACATGGCTTCATACCCTTCTTCTTGAACTTAACTTCACTCAGCCATCCACTACTCCACTTCTCTGTGACAACACCAGTGGCATAACGCTCTCCAAGGACACTTCATATCATTCAAAAGTCAAACATATCAATATCACTGTCCATTCCATTTGCGAATGAGTCACCTGAGGCCAATTGAAACTTTCTTATGTTAAATCACTTAATAACACCACTGACATCTTTACAAAAGCCCTTCCTCACAAAGATTTCAAATGTCTATGTATTTGCTTGGGTCTTCAGTGACAAAATCGAG